CAGGGTTCAATGTTGAAACCCTTCCTGCGTATGCCAAGCGCTCCCAGAGGATGGTCATCACTGCCCGTACGTGGGAAATCCTTTCTGCTACACAGAAAACCAGGAATAATCTGGCATTCCTCTCTGCTGGCTTCCAGAGGGCCCCTGCTTTCTGAGGGATGACTCATTCCAGAGCTCCTGGAAGTGCAGTTTGGTAGTGACCCTGTGATAGGTGCAGGAAGAGTCACTTCTCACCAGTGTCCTCACTGCACACCAGAGTCCTCGGGATGGTTTTGTTCTCCTGGTATGGGAGGGAGGGGCCAAGTGATCCCTGTTCCCCTCTGGGATGCCAAACAGCCTCCTGGGATGTGCTTGGGCAGGGCCTGGGAATGTGGCTCCCAGCTCAGCAGCAGCACTTTGTGCCTGGCCCTGGGCAGGAGGAGCCCCCCTGATTTCTGTGCTTTTTAACTCCTGTAGCTCCTGTGACAAACCAGCCCGTGACCCCCAAAGCCCTGACAGCCGGACAGAACAAGCCTCACCCATCCCACATTCCCGGCCATTTCCCTGAGTTCCCAGATCCCCACACTTACATCAAGACACCGGTGAGTGAAAACAGGATTTTTGTGCTGTTTGGGGGCTGTCTGGAGTCCAGAACAGCAGGAGTGGTGTATTTTTACTGCAGTGCTGGTACTGCCCATCCAAAGTATGGTTTATATGTTCCTTGGGTTGTGGACATCCCTTGCTGTCCAGAAATCAGCCAGGATCCCTGGATTTCTGGCTGTGATGGACATGTGTAGCTCTCCAAAAGCCTGTCAGGAGCAGAGGTCAGAGCTGGCCTGGAGCTCCTGCAGCCCTGCAGTGTTCTGAAGGTGAAGCTGTTCCGTTCCTCCCCTCCCTGCCCCGCAGACGTACCGGGAGCCCGTGTCCGACTACCAGGTCCTGAGGGAAAAAGCAGCTTCCCAACGGAGGGATGTGGAAAGAGCCCTCACAAGGTTCATGGCCAAGACAGGGGAGACCCAGAGCCTCTTCAAGGATGACGTCAGCACGTTCCCACGTGAGTTTTCCGTGACTCTCCGTGCCCTAAATGTGTGTCCCTGAGCATCCCGCCCCCTTTGGGGTTCTTGGTGCTGCAGGGGGTGAGCTCTGAATAATCACATCGTGTTATTCCCTGAAGGAAATGAGGAATTTTGTGTTTAAAAATACAAATTTGTATTTGAATTTTGTATGAAAACCAAAATAAGGCTTCTAACCTCACTATGGCTCACTGTGCTCGTGGACAAGGCTGAGAGGGGCTAAATTCAAAGCTCATCCCAGTCCTGACTCCACTCCCTGTAACCTTTGAACAAGTAATTTCTTGTCTCTGACATTTTAGTGGTAGTGGGGGCTTTCCTGTTTCTCTGACTGCAAAGCAGTGATGAGAATTCCCACCTTCCCAAGGCTCACTGACAGCACAGGTGTCGGTGTTAACTGAAAGGGGGACCAAGTGATGCTTCCTGACCTTTTGTGGAGGTCAGGAAGGACTTTTTGAGTTGGAATAATGCTGGAAACATAAAGGGGCCTCAGAAAATAGGAAATTAGAGACTGCCATCTTGTAGGGACAGCACATTTCATTCCTGATCCCTGGGAGCAGCAGGAAGAGGTGCTGTGTGTTCAAAGCCAGAAGCGGCAAAAGTGTTTGTTCTCTTTGTGCTTCCTAATTTTTGAGGGGAGGGGTTTTCTCCCAGCTCGCTGACTGTGTCCTTTTTCCCTGACTCCAGTGATTGCTGCCAGGCCTTTCACTGTCCCCTACCTGACAGCTCTTCTCCCCTCTGAGCTGGAAATGCAGCAGATGGAAGAGACGGATTCGTCGGAGCAGGACGAGCAGACGGACACCGAGAACCTCCCGCTGCACATGAGCACGGTACAGCCCCCCTGGGACAGCTCTGCCCTGGGCTTTTCAAACCTGCTTCTTCCCCAAGGGATCTTCTTGTGCCAGAAATGAGGAAGCCTCACCCTTAATGCAGCTCCTCGTGTGCTGCTGTTGATTGTCTGTTCTGCCCACGGGTTGTGTGGTTTGAACTTAGAATTATGGAATGGTTTGGGTTGAAAGGGACCTCAAACATCACATGGTTTCACCCCCCTGCCATGGGCAGGGACACCTTCCACTATCCCAGGTTGCTCCAAGCCCCTTCCAGCCTGGCCTTGGACACTTCCAGGGATGGGGCAGCCACAGCTTCTCTGGGCAGAAAGATTTCTGAGCCTCGTTTTGCGTAACTCTGGTTGTTTGGGTTTGTGGTTTTTTTTGTACAGGATGATTCAGGACCCGAGAAGGAAAACGCCTCAGTGCTACAGCAGAACACCTCCCTGGCAGGCAGCAGGAATGGGGAGGAGAACGTGATAGACAATCCCTACCTCCGGCCGGTGAAAAAGCCCAAAATCCGCAGGAAGAAGTGAGGTGGGGCTGGAGCTCCTCTGGCTGCTCAGAGAAGGAGGGCTCAGGAGAGACAATCCAACTGAGTGGCCCAGGAATGGTCTCTGCAGAGTGAACTCCACTCTCATCCTGGTTCCCAGTGCTCCCTCTTCCCCTTTGCTCTCCTGCTGCCTTGGAATGGTCGATTGTCCTAAAGGCACTGAAGGGATCCCAGGTGGGATTGTCTGGGGGGACTGTGCTTTGTTTCCCCTGTGGGCAGGATTTGCTCTCTGAAGAGCTGGGGGACACCAGGGTTGGGGCTGGGGCACAGCAGGTTTTTCCTGCTGCCCTGCAGGCTCTGCAGAGCACAAAGGCATCACTGGTGCGTGGCTGCCTGGCAGGCAGGACAGGAAACTTTGCCATCAACCCTGCCAGGCTTTAATTCTAAGGAATGTGTATTAACAGAGACAGAAGAACCCCGGGGAGGTTTCTTTCTTTGCTGTTCTTGGCAGGTAAAAAACAAACAGACTTTTCTTTTATAAACTCAAGGTGTCTGATGTGTCAGCGAGGAGTGAAGTGTAAATACAGAGCTAAGTTGGCATTTTATTCTCACTTTGCTGACTGCAGCTGCACTTGGGACTTAAAAGCTCTTAAGTGTGGTGTTTACCCTGCCCTGCTCTGAGATCACTTTCCAGCAGAAGGACTGGCAACGTTTCACAGCTGCTTGGGGCTGCTCTTCAGTTCTGTTGTTGCTTTCAACTCAGCACAAGTCCTTGGAGGGTTCACTCCTTCACCAGTTGTTTTGGAACTTGGAATATGGAATAAAGCTGCATTGATTGCAGGCTTCAAGGCTGTGCTGGTGATCACATTTCTTTCATTTTATCCATTCTCAAATATGTGCTTTTATCAACAGAAGTTCCTCTTTTTTCCCCCTTTTATTTCCCCAGAGCAGAAGACTTTATTTCAGCAGTGAAAACGGCCGATGAGGGGAGTGTTGTAATTATGGGCTGGTTCTGGAGGGCTTTGCTTTAATTTTCCTTCAACATATTCTTAGGGAAAATACTGGAAATTTTTTTGACAAAAGACTCCTGTGGTTTGGTCCAGTCTCCCAAGGATCCCAAGGTGTTCATGTGCAGTTAGAGGATCCTCCCAGGCCTCCCTCTTCCCCCGTCACCCAGGGAGGAGGAAGGGAAAAGGGAATAATTATTTCAGTGAGGATGGAGGTGTTTCTGACAGACAGGCTGAAATTAGATCTCTCAGAAATCCTCTGTGTGTGCCATTGTCACTTCTGCTGGTGCCTTGGTTGTACAGAATGACAGATGTACAGAGACATTGTGTACTTATGTATATATCAAAAGTTCTATCTTTTTTTACTTGGATTGAGCTTTTTTTTCGCAATGAGAAAATCCCTCACTGGGGAGGGGAAAAAAGTAGAATGAAAATTGTAATTTTTATGTTCGTAATAAAAGAAATTTTATCTCCTAAGACCAAAACTGGCTGAGTCCTTCAAGTTTTAAGAGTGGAAAAGGACCTGAATGGAGGCTGAGTGTGTTTTCTGTGGGGGGTGTGAGACCAGGAGATCTTGTCCTTCCCTCTGCATCTCTTCCTTTCTCTTCAGGACCATTTGATAGCTGAGAAGGTTGGGAATTTCATCAGAAATGACAACAAAGGGCCCTTTGAAATCCCAGCAGTGTGGCAAAAACTTTAGTAGAAGGTTTCTCCAGCCACAGGTGGAACATGGTGAAAAATCACAGGTGCTGCTGACTTTGTTCATCTCCTCACACCCCTTTTTCTCCTGGTCAGAAAACCCAGACAGGTGGAGGTGAAATATGTCTGCCATAAATACAAAAGTATGGCCTTAAGCAGCCATAAACCCCAGGTTTTAGGACAGTAAAAATTCCAGGGGGTCACACCCCCCCTTATCCAAAATCTTGCCCCAAAAGGGGCAGCTGTGAATCGACGGCTCCATCCCCGTTTTTGGCACGTGGGTCTTGTGGTTGGGAGGGAGGGAGGGAGGGAACCAAGGTGCCTCAAAAAGCCTGTGAGCAGCTGTTGTGGCACATCTGGGAGAGCTCTCGGAGCCTGAAAGTGGGAAACTGGAAGAATGTATTTTGGGTTTGCAACTGAAACTGGACTGCAGGTGGAATTTGCTCCAGAAACAGGTAAATAAAGCCAGGGAGTTGGAAAGGCTGCTCTGGGGCTGTAGTTACACCCAGAGCGAGTGTTGCCTGCTCTTAGTTGTCCCCTGGGATCACATCAAGGCTGTGATCAGTCTGTGGGAGGGTTTGTAAACATTTATAGAAATCCCCAGGGTTCGAGTGCAGGAACAGCTGAAGATGAACCCCAGGGCCTTTCAGACACAACCAGCGGCCACAAATCCCCCTGTTTGAGACGGTTTTATTCAGATTTTAAAACAATTGAAACGTTTTATTGGTTCTTTGAGCCTGGTGGTGCAGGGGGGTGTCTCCAGAGGAGGGGGCACAGCCCCTCAGCCAAAGTACAGCTTCAGGTAGGCCACTCTCTCCTGGTGCTTTTTGGATTCTTTGTCCATGGTCATCTGAAAGAACAGCCAAGCATTAACAGCAGAGACAACACTTCGGAAAAGGAAGGTGTGAGACAGTGTCAGGAACCTCAGTCTGTGCTCTGAATGAGTTTTTCCTCTCAGCAGAGCTGAAAGGGGCAGTCAAGGCTCTGCTTCACTTCACTCTGCGGGCAGAAACTTCCGGGGGAAATTTCTTAATAGAAGGGTTTTTTGAAGGACTGTGGCTGGTTTTGCAAACAGGTGTTTTCTCACAGGAAAGCACTTCATATCTTGTGCCCCAGGCAGGTTAGGAAAGGATAACAAAACTTAGTGCAGATGCAGAATAATGAGGAAATTTCCTTTCTCAGAAGACTTGAGCCAGGAATAACATCCCCTCATCCCTGTTCTTACCTCCTGCACCTCCCTTTTTACCATCTTCTTTGGTGGCTTGGGCACTGAAGACCAGTCTGGAGACCCAAACCTCATCGGCCAAGTGACTTTTCTGTTCAGTGGCTGCTCTATGTTGTAATTTCCAGGTCTAAAGAAAACAGGCACAAAGTGTCTCAATTCTGGAGCTGGTGTATGATGTTTATAATACAGAATTTACCTCAATGACCTGTTCGTGGTCATCTAAAGTACAGCCATTCGTTAATAGCAATGATGGTGCCACAGAAAAGGAAGATGTGAGATGGTGTTGAGAACTTCAGCCTGTGTTCTAAGTGGGTTTTTGTTGAGGGAGATCCATGGGGGAAATGCATGTTGTGGTGTTCTAGTCGTGGTGCTAAGCTAAAGACTAAAGCAGGGGAGCTCTTTGAAGACAAAAATCTTCACTGAGAACTCAGTTTCCTATCTCCCATCCATGCCTTAGCATTTCTCTCTGCCAGTACTCCTGCTTATTGTGAAAATCGTAAGAAAACGAGTTGTGTTACCCAGGGAAAAGTTCTCTATCTGGAGGCCTGGTTGGAAATCGTGGTGTACTGGAGGAAAATGGGGCATGGGCAGGCTGGCACTTCCTCTTCTCCATCCAGAAGGGCTCGTACGCTGCCGGGCCGGGGGTCACCGTCTGCAGGGGGAAAAAACATTTGTGTGGAACATTTAGTTGTGCAAATCATTCCCACGTGCTCAGGGCAGCAGCCAGCTGGGTGTGACAGACCCGCCCTTCAACACTTTGGCTGCCCTGAGGGCGTTAAAACCTCAGAACTCCCCTCTCCTCACCAGGTTCCTCCGCATGAAGCGCGGGCCCGTCCTCGCTCCCATCACGTAACCCTTGCTGCTCATGGGCCTGGTGCTCAGGGAGGGCTGCAGGATGGGGGTCTGCAATCCAAAAACAGAAGTGTCTTACTGGCATTTCAAAGGCACCATTTGCAGGGCAGAAGTACACGAGCAGCAGATGTTATTCCTACTGATGTTATTCCTACTGATGCTATTCCCATTGATGTTGTTCTTATTGATGCTTCTCCTATTGATGCTATTCCTATTAATTCCCCTCTTTTCTCACTGCTGTGGAGCTGTATAAGGACTGGTGTGTTGGGAAGGGAGGGGATTTTTTTTTCCCAGGTTTATGTGGAGACATCCTGCAGTGGGTTTGCAGGGCGGGTGTGGGGCTGGCCATGGCCCTACTGCTCCTGTCCTGTGTCTTCTGCAAAGGACCACAACACTTTAACAACTCACCTCCTGGCCCAGGTAACAGCCTGGCCCAACCAGAGGGTTTCCCCCGACGGCTGACACCTCAATCCCCAGCCTGTCTGGGGCGAAGTAGTAGGGGAACATCTTCCTTTCCTGAGTTGTCCCAAAGGAGACATTCTTCTGCACACCTGAGGCACCTGGAGAGGGAAGTGCCACCAGTGTGATACACAAAAAAATATAAAATATATAAAATAGAGGTGACCACGTGCTGCTTTTTTCCCCTGAAGTGTCTGCTGCTCTCTGCCTGAGGCCAACCACCCCCTCACCTCCCAGATGGGAGCTTCCCCTGGCCCTGGATATCTGTGGGGGATCTGCCCTTTGGATGCCTGTTCCCTCCTGCCACAAAGGCCTGGTTTTTTCCCCGGGGCAGGGAGTGATGAGCAGCCCAGTCGGGGGATTTGTGAGAGAAGAAAAGCCTCGAGCCCCAGAGTCCCCCCCCAGGTGCTCCCACCTCTCACAGCTCTCACCCCTTGGCTCCTGCCCCGCTGACATCCTGCCCTGGCCACGGGGCAGGGGGTGCTGGAGACCACGGCAGCACGTGGAGGGTGCAGGGGAGAGCCCAGGGTGAGTAACTGCCCCGTGGAATGTGCTGGGCTGGCTCAGGGGAAGCAGCCTGGGGCTGTGATGTCACGACCCTTCTGCCCCCTTGGCTCCTCTCTGCTTCCCCCCCCCGGTGGCCCCTGGGGTAGGGCAGCAAGAAAGCCCTGGAAAATGCCATGCGGGAATTAAATCCAGCTGGTGGATTCAAGCCCTTCCCTGAGCACAAGTTTGGGTACCACGAGAGAATCATGAAGCATCAAAACATCAAGAACCAGACGACTCAAAACAGGGAGGATTGTTGCTTTTGCAGAAAGCTTTATTTAATCGTTACTGTGTGCAGTGGGATCAGAGGGGTCTGCTGGCCGCAGCAGGGTTAGGAGCTTCATGGCCAGTTGCAGCAGGAGCAGGTGGTGTCGAAGACGAGACCCTCTTGGCAGCTCTGCACGATGGTTTGGCCGTTCAGGCAGTTGTAGAAGTTCCTGTTGTTGTCTGGGTCTGCGTAGAGGCCGTTGGGTTTGCCGGCACAGAAACTGCTCCCGCCAGAGCCGCCGCTGCCACCAGAGCCGCCGCTCCCGCTCCCACTGGTGGTGGTGGGAGCCTCAGTGATTGGAGGCAGGGGCTCAGCAGGAGGCACACAGTCTGCAACCAAAGCAGGAAAGGGCTTATTTTTGTGCTGGCGGAGTCTCATCCCTCCCCTCCCTTCATGGGAGTTCCCATCAGGGGGCTGCTCAGGCACTCAGAGCACTCACCGCCGTTCTGCAGACCGAGGCCCTTCTTCAGGGTGGAGATCAGGGGGTATTTGCCTTCATTGCAGAAAGTGCCAGTGAAATCATCCATGTCCAGGGCCCAAACCATGGCACCTCCAAAGTTGTTCTTCTTCAGCCAGTCGACCTGTTTGGGGCCAGGGAGAAACCCCGATCAGCCCCGGGAGCTGCTCCTGCAGGAGCCTCCTGCCTCCTCCCCAGCACAGCCCCACGTCCCACCAGACCTTGATGCCGAAGCTCTTCGTGTTGTCGTAGCCAACCCATTCGCTCTCCTTGTAGGCGTAGGGCACGTCCTGGGGTTCATCCCAAGCCTGGGTGGCTCCAGAGCTCAGGAGGGAGCAGATCTAGGGAGAAGCACCAAGAGGTGTAAGGTTAATTTCAAAAAGGGAAAAGTCCGGGCTCTGCCACTGTCTGGACTTTAGTTTTGTGTCATTTGTCTGGTTCCTGAAAATAAGTAACTTTTTCTTAGCAATTCTATGGACAGTTTTGTGCCTGAGGCAGCCATTCAGAAAGCTCCATGGGTGCCTTCCTTATACTTTCCTTCAAATGACCTGAACAAGGAATGTGATTAGACACACATACCTCATAGTAAGCCAGTGTCCCAGCCTCCCTGGTGTAAGGTCCAGCTGGTCCAGGGCCTGATGCTGGAGCCCCCACAGAGGTGTCAGATGGGTTCTGCAGGGTGAAGCTTTTTCCGTATGTTGGGAAGCCAACAAGGAGCTTCTCAGCTGGGGCACCATTGTCCTTCCAGTAATTCATAGCATATTCCTGTAAGAAAACACTCCTGTTGAAGTCTTTGCCCGGGTTTTCGGGCAGGATGATGAATTCCTCAATATCTCCTCCCTGGTGCAATCACAGAGCTGAGCCCTGGGGCTCTGTCTCAAACACACTTACGACATTGAAGTACTTGTAGTCCCCGGTGTCAGCTGGGCCTGCAAACAGGGGGCTGTTCTCACCAGTGTTCCTCTCCCAGGAGCCGTGGAAGTCGTAGGTCATCACATGGATGTAGTCCAGGTACCTGTGGAGAGCATTGGCTCCGTCCTGACCCGCTCAGGCACCAGAGCTGACGGTTCCTCCAGCACTGTCACCCCTGTCCCAGCCCGGCCACAGCCCCAATTCCTGCACATCTGGGTCCCTCAGGGGCTCTTTGGAGCTTGCAGGACACCAGTGCAGCCCCACAAGTGATCCCAGGCTTTGCTACTCACTTCCCAATCTCAGCAATCTCGTAGCCAGCCTGGATGGTGGAAAGTCCTGCAGCCACAGCAGCAGTGACCATGAGACGGGGCTGGTTGGTCTGTTTGGCTTCCTGCTCAAAGGCTTCCAGCAATTCCTGAGGGATTCCAGGGAACAGGGCTCAGACTTTACGTCTGCCCAGGGCTCTGGCCAGAGCTGTGCTGAGCAGAGCAAAACTCACCTTAACCAGGGTGGTGAAGAGCCCCTTGTCCTGGGCTGGGCTGCCCCTGGAGCCGGGGTATTCCCAGTCCAGGTCCAGCCCATCAAACTGGTACTGGCGCAGGAATTTGATGACAGACTTGATGAAGGTCTGGCGGTTCTCAGCAGAGGAAACCATCGTAGTGAACCTGGACAAGCAGAGCAGGAGAGCATTGGGCTTTGTTTGGAGCATCCTCCTCTCCTTCCCTTTCCAGGGTGCTTTTATGGGCAGGACATGGTTTGAACTTACTTTTGGGTGCCGAAATTCCATCCTCCAATGGCCAGCAGGGTCTTCAGATCCTTGTTCCTGCAAAGGAAGGACAGGTACCAGAGTTACTGTAAGTCCACAGTACCCTGAGCCACTGTCACTGTGGTCAGAGGAGTGGGACTGTCACCCTGCCCTGCCCTGCCCGTCTCTGCCTTCTCTCCCGACATCCCTTGCCCAGGGCTGTGCAGAGAGCAGAGGGTGAACAACAGGGCAGGACCTGAGAAGGAGAACAAGCCCTGCCCTCTGCTCCCAGCACATACTGGTTCTTCAGGCCGTTGAAGGATTTGTAGAGGGTCTCGTCGTTCCATTCATAAGTGGTGATCTCGTTGTTGTTCATCCCGGCGAAGGCGTAGATCAGGTGGTTGCACAGGCAAGGGTCGACATTTTCGGGGGTGTATTTGCCCAGGCCAGGCCTGTACTGGGCCCAGTTGGTGAAGTAACATGTCAGCACGTAGGCAGTGCCTGTGGGGAGACACAGGAGCTGGGGGGG